GGTCCAGCCGATGCTGAAAATTTTTGAGAGTAACCAAAATGTCACAGAGCAAGCTGAATGATGCCACGCATTCCCTGGGCACTTCTGGCATTGTTGCAAGGACCGTTTCGGCGTAATACCGAATCAATGGTGTGATGGCCGCTGTGTGATGGCCTTGGCCCTTGTAAAGGCTGTCAGAAAACATTCGTGGATCGAAGAGTCGCCTGGTGTAGTTTTGGGTTTTTCCGGAAGACTTGGTGCCCTTCCATTCCGCTTGCAACACCAAAAGTTCAAGCCGCTTCAAGTTTATGTCCGTTCTCTCGAAAACTGCCTTGCAGAGCAGCGCCACTTCCCAAGATGCACATCCGTTCACCAAATAAGTGTGAAGAAAATCTGTAATAATGCGAGAAGGTGGCAACTTCCATCTTTGGTTGGATGCCATAAGACTTCCTGGGACCCAACAGATTCCGGCGCACTTCTCTTTCATCTCCATGTCTGCTTTGGTGCGGCAGTGCTGCAAATCATCCAATGCGGAAAAAATTTCCTGGTCAGTCACAGGCTGAAAGCCTTCACAGGCATCTATTTCAACGAAGAGGTCATCCAAGCGAGAAACATCTGTGTCACGCTTGACCACATTAGAGCAGTGCAGGCACAACCGTATACCCGCACTCCCCTTGGACGTGTAAACAGATCTTATACCTTCATTGTCTGCCAGAAAGCATCCTTGCTGCTTCTGTCTGAACTTGAAGGTGAGGCCCTGAAAAGACATGTTGAACCCTGCTTCACTCTCGACGGTCAGTGAAGTTGACAAAATCGCAGTCACAACAGCGCTGGCTCCGCCTTGGATCTGTTGAAGACAATCAGCTTGCACAGCCGCCATAGGAACCCACATGTTCGGATTCTTGAGGAGATGCCAACATTCCACCCATGAAAGGTAAAAGATGCAGGCCTTGCGACCTTTGTCAACGGACAGGACATTACCGGCAGTGCACTCATCACAGTACACAATAGGTGTGAGGATGGGATTCACTTGCAAAGCTCTGTGCAAAGACTTGTGGAAGGCTTCACTCGTTTTGCAAAGCTCACGGACGACGTGCGCCAAATCTATCAAGGGTACCACAAAGTCTTTGTCACCACATTCCCTGGCAGGTGGAAAAGATTCCCAGATCACTGCGCTCTTCCAGGGCCCGAGGATTTCTTGTATCTCTTCTTGAAAAGTACCTCGGGCTATGTTGGCTCTATTTTCGTTGCAAATATTCCAGATGCTCAGAACAGCATGTTCACTAGCACCTCGCACTTGCAGACACCTTTGCAGTCTATCCCGCTCATCGTCTGACAGCTTCTTGCGCTTTGGCATGCAGTTTCATGCTAGGTGTGCCAGCCTAATGGAAATTTCGTGGTAGCGTTGTTTCTACTTATGAGCCTCACAAACTACAGTACTCAGGATCCAACAAGAACTGAATAAAAGCGGTGAACCGCTCAACGGACAAAACTTTTGGTGACTACAGTGCACAGGGTCAATCCAATACAAGCGGTCAACCGCTCAACGGACAAACTGTGAGTGCCACCCTAGTAACAAGCAAGCAAGGGGACAAACCGAAACAAACTGAAGCATGAAAGCATCGTACTTTTTGTCCAGCAGCAATCAGCCCTTCACAGAAACTGAATTAGACCCATTGTGCCTGACCGTGCTTGACCACAGTCCCTGGAGCAGACGCAGAGAACGATTGGCCACACTTGACGCACGAAACCAGGCCCCCCTCAGGAGCATCCAAGGGCGTGTCGACAAAGCACTGAGTCTGAGGTAGAGACATATGGGTCAGACGCCGAGCTATAGTGATCAGCTTTAGATCACAAAAAAAGAAACTTGGTACCAGCTGTGTAGAGAAACAAAGAACTGGTGGATTTACAACGACAACCAAAGATATCCGTAGATGTTTGCTTTGAATAAATCGTTGATGTCCAATAGATATCCGAAAGATATCCATAGATATCCTCGACGATTGCAACGATATCCAACGATATCCGACGATATCCGTAGATATCCGGTAAGGAGTTTCTATGATTTAGAACGATATCCAACGATATCCGTAGATATCCGTAGATATCCGTATAAGAATGCCAATATCTTTTAACGATATCCGAAAGATATCCGAAAGATAGCCATAGATAACCGTGGATAGATAGAATGAGGTATGAGATGCTAGAAGGAACATTGAACTTCCTAAAGCGGTCAACCGCTGCAAGCAAAGTTATATCTCCTATAGAGCAAAAAACCGCTGGAAACAAAATTGAACCTCCTAAAGCGGTCAACCGCTCAAAATATACCTCCTAGAGCGGACAACCGCTGGAAGCAACATTGAACATCCTATAAAGCGCGCTCAGGAAACAATCAACCATGAGCTGCCAAACACACTTTTTCTCCGTTCCGGCCAGGTTCTTCATCGCTTGGATGGTTTTTTGAAAAGGGTCTTTTTGACCTGGCGCTTCATGGCTAAAGGTTTCAAATCATGCTGCAATGCAATTGGGCGTGTGGATTCATCCTCACTGCCATCATCACCACCCTCATTGTTTGCCTTCAGCTCGCTGCCCTCCATAAACAATTTTTTCAGGGTCCAGTTCCGCCGTGCTCCCTGTATCGGCACCCCGTTGTGGATAAAGGACACCTGACAGGACCCCAAAATCATCGACTCCTTGCCAGTAGTCTGGTCACACAGGTTGATGAACGTGTCCAACACCTGTGAGGCGGTGAATCTTAGAAAAAAGACTGTCTAAGTTTCTGAAATGAACTCTTTAGGTTTAGAGTCTAGAGAAGAGACGAGTAGAATTTTTGACCTGTGACCTTGAAACCTGGAAGGAATTACTTCCCCTTCTCTTCAAAAGGTATTGTAGGGTTCCTTTCTACTTGCTGCGCCTGGCCTTTTGGAAAGTTGCTCTGGGACCCCAGCGCCCAGGAAGCCGACCAACCAACTCACCAGTCATGTGGAACCTCACCTCCAGTGGTTGTCGGGAACAATGCCAGAGAGTTGCCTGCTGGCGTCGGCGGTGGCGTCGGCGGCGGGGGACCTGGTAGTGGACTGCTCTTTGACCTCCATGGTGGCGCACTTGTGGGTGTTGCCGCACTCTTCAGGATTGGCGCTCTCTTTGGTGTTGGCTGATTTTCCCCCGGCGCACTTGCACTCTTCGGTGTTGGCGGCGGCTCTGATTTCGGAAGAGCGCCCAACGAACTTGTCCTGCTCGAGGTTCTTCCAGGATTTTCCACCGGCGCACTCGCACTCTTCGGGGCTGGCATACTCTTCGGGGTTGGCGTCGGACCTGATTTCGCAACAGCGCCTAGGGAGTGTACCGATCTTTCGTTGGAGTGAACTGCTGCTTCCTTGAACTCGACTGGTGGCGAAGTCGTTGGCGCCGGCGGCGCAGAACGCTTACCTTTCCGCTTCGGTCTCGGGCGCGGGTCCTCCATCGCCACTATAGCCGGTGTAAGAAGGTGCAATTTGCTGTCTAAAAATCCCAAAACCGTTGATGTATATTTTGCCGAACATATTTTCAACCCCTATATGGCTACACACAGCATCTCTGCCACCCCTTTGCAACCCCTTTTCACAAAGTTACAACAATATAGGGTGTATGTATATTCAATTATTCTGTTGAACATAACTGTTTGTCCACAAGAGCCACAAGTCTAGCGGTTTCTATCCGGTCAGCGGAACAACCGCTCAAACCTAAATTAGCGGACAACCGCTCAAGCAAATCAAACACCAAACATGACAACCAATCAGCAGAAACAGCTTACAACAACAAACTTTTGGAACGCACACTTTTCAACTAACATGTTACATGTAACGCGTAGAAATTTAAGTTTTTTCTTGGCAAAACATACAAAAATAAGTTGTTTAATGATTTTTCTAAGTAGACTAAGTAGAACTAAGTAGAACTAAGTAAGAAGAAGTTACTTAGCCTACTCAGTAAAATCCAACAGCAACATCTTTAACCGCTACTTAAATCTACTTAGGAAGCAGCCTAAGTTAGTTATAAGTTACTTTAAGTTCCTGTAAGTAATCATTCTTCATGATGCTACTTAGCCTACTTATACCAACTTAAAACCCTACTTAGCCAACTTATAGCCACACTATAACTAGGTTATAAGTAGGCTAAGTAGAAACCGTCCTTAAGGTAGACACTAATACCAGTTTATGAAAAAGTAAGTATGCATTGCACGTACAAAAACAGTTGAAAACATATAGAATCTAGATTTTTGAATCTTCTTTGTCTTTGCATTGATATGAAATCTGAGAATCTGAGAGCACAAATGCCCAACCTATTGTCACCTATTATCACTTTTCAATTTTTGCTAGTTTTGACTCACAGCGCTCTTTAATGATATACATACTGTATGTAACAACAAACAAGTCTTAGAGTCTTAGAGTCTAGTCAAGTCTAGTCTAGTCACTTCTATTTTTGGCGCGTACTAAAGTTATACTACAAAGTACACCTCTCGCCTGCCTTTCGCGCGCTCGACACGCCCGATCTCCGCAGAGGGTTGCGCGCGCACACACCCCACCGTGCTCTCGCCTGCGTTTCGCGTACTCGACGCGCATGATCTCCGCAGAGGGTTGCGCGCGCGCAGACTCAATCGCACTCTCGCCAGCATTTCGCGCGCTCGACACGCACGATCTCCGCAGAGGGTTGCGCGCGCAGCCGGCAAATCGCACTCTCGCCTGCATTTCGCGCGCTCGACACGCACGATCTCCGCAGAGGGTTGCGCGCGGATCCGGCGCATCGCACTCTCGCCTGCATTTCGCGCACTCGACACGCACGATCTCCGCAGAGGGTTGCACCATCGAATCGAAAGAGGCACCTTCGGAGCGAGCCTTCAAGACTGAGCTCGTCAACTCGCTATTCGCAAAGCAGAAGGACGGCTCGTATCGCATCGACACGGACTCCCACCAATTCGCGCAATACCGCAAGGTGCACCATGCCCACATCGCGAAGACCAGGACGAAGCATTGCCGAAGAACCTCATGATCGGTACGCACGTCAGTGGAGATGAGCGCCTGTTCAACAGAGCTTTGGAGGACAAGGAGCTTACCTCTTTCAAGGATGAGGCGTCCGGCATTGAGTACTACAGCTTCCGTAAGCTTCAGGCTGTGGATTTGCATGCGTCAGAGCAGGGGGAGCATGTGCGTGGCTACAAGAAGCTTGGGAAGGATCAAGCTTACACCTTGGGTGCCCTCATGACGAAGATGAAGTGGGACTTCAAAATGATCAAGGCACAGAAAACATGTTTGTAAGAATAGGATAAAGGCAGTCAGTTCATAACACTTTGTTTTCATGAGCTCTGCAAGTGTGGGGAGTGCCAAGTCCTTGAGAAGAGGAGTGGAGAGTTTTCTTGTGAGTCTTGTGAACTGAAACCTTGTCTATGGAAACCTATCAATATAAACCGATATAAAAGAATACTAATTTTTTTTGGTTTAGCCACATATCCTTCAGCCCAATGCTTTTTTAAGACAACATACCGGATTGGTGTTCAATTTATGAGTCATGAGGCTGAAGAAAAGAGTTTGGACAAGGACGGCGAGATTCCCAAAGGGTTTGAAGCATTGGCATCTAAAGCGAAAGATGCCGTGGAAAGACTCTTGAAGGAGGGAAAGAAAATCGCCAACCAGATTGGAGGCAAGGCCTTGATCAAGAACGGGTCTACCATGCTGACAGGCCATCTCAACGACCTGAACCATTGGTCTATGTTCCAAGAACTGCCCAACAAATCAATGCCATCCAAGACAACTTTGGAGTCCTTCGTGGGGAAGATTGCAGTCGATGTGGATCGTTTCAATGGAGAAATAAACGTCGGCTTAAAGCTCGTAGGAACTGAAGCGTTACACTTAGCTCGGCTGCTTAGTGATCACGCCTACGCCTCTAGCTCTTGGGAAATTTTGATGGGGGGTTATTCTGTTTTGCTTAGCCTATTTACCAAAAAGAACATTAAACAACCTATGGTTCGAAGCTGTTCTCCATATCTCATGGCTCAGATTGCGCCTCATGGCTCAAAACCCCTGCCAAACATACTGACTGAAGTTGAGGAGTTTGCAGCGTCGAGTGATCCTTGAGTGAAAAGAGCATCAATTCATAGTTGACAAAAACCTGCCCTTGCCTGAGCTTGGATTTTCTGAAAACACATTTGCAAACGCGTTGTGACAGAGGGAACACTGCGGGGAACCTAGCTTTTGAGAGTTTGCAAACATATGAGAGACAGTTTCGATTAATGCTTAATCATTTTCAGAACTTACCACGTTTGGACAAAAAGAGTAGAGATCGTTTTTGTCACAGGCACGAGTTCAAACAAAACGACATCAACCAACTGTTGGCTTTCTCCCAACAAAGTTTCATTTCAAACACTTCTCTCAACGTTGCCCTCTCAAGGTGAGATCCCTCCTCTCGCTCCTCTCAAGGTGAAGTCATGCCTCTCAAGGTGGCCAGCCAGTGGGAGGTTCCTAAGGTGAAACCCTACACGAAATGTATTCGAGCCCTTTGCTAAAACCGTGTTGAGATGCATATGCCACATATGTCAGAATATGTTTCCCTCAAATTCCTCTCTTTCTCTGACGGTTCTGACACTCAGTTTAAATGACACATGAACGCCGCTGAAGCTACTTTGCGCTTCAAGAGAAAGTCTCCTCACACTCGAACCTCCTCTACAGTTGAGCCGTTTAAGACACAATGTGCGCGTGAAGACAGGCACTGACAAAGCATAGAGTCTGACAGGAGACCTTTTCACTACTGACCAAAAGGGTGACATGTAAAAGACATTGTTTACACATTTTGCACCGGTATGTATTGAACATGGAGCCACCCAGAAAGAAACAGAAAAGAGGTTGTACAAAACAGAGGATTGCCAGGGCCAAAGAAGCCAAGCAAGCCGAGCACAACTTTGAGGGCAGCAGCGCTTTGGCAGCCTTACTCCTTAGTTTGTTTGCGTGGAGGTTCTTCAGCCCCCAGCGGGTGCAAGAGATCGCTGCTCGCGCTGTCCAGGACATCGACAACGTTGCCAACAACCCAAGTGCGATTGAGGAGTTGAAAATTCTCCAGAGCCTTGGGACAAAGGGGAAATACAGCAACAAAATGCGCGGCCAACTGATGGAGAGAATTGAATGGGTTTCTCGGCAGCCTAAAGGCTATAAATTTCAAATCCCACTCCGAGATTTTCGACAAACTTGCAGCCAAATGTTGCTACTCCCACACGAGCTCTTCTCTGTCATCTATCACAGCTACAAAGCAGTTTGGAGCAAAACTGTGGCCCCATCCGTGGACACTGTGAAGAAGTTTTTGGCGCAGTCAGACTCCGCCCGCAGATGCAAGGTCCCCCCGCGAAGCCTTTCACCCCACCAAAGCCAAACCAAGCCGGAACGAGCGCACGGTTCCAATCGCCGTCACGGGAACGGTGTCCCGATTGTAGGTGTGGGAAAGGCGTGGAGTCGGATGATGACTCGTTATTCCTGGTATTCCCTTATCGGTCAAGGGAAAACAAGCTCCATGCTCATGTGGATTTGGGTGTTTTACGACCGCCTTAAAGTTGGGGATGTGACACATGGCACTTTGCATGAGTACAAGATTCTCCACTGGTGGTGATTTATGTCTTGCTGAAGGCAAGTGGCCAAGCCATGATCCCTATGGTAAAGCGCAGCTCGACTTTCACAAACCTAGCTGATTCATTTTCAGTATTTTGTATGAATGCCATGGGCCATGTTGAAATGAAAACGCAGTGTGTCCATGTTGAATATGTCCATCCTATCTGTGTCACAAAACCCTTGTGTATAGTTATTTTTGTCGTTGAAACACTCAGACAGGTACGAACCGGGAACTGCTGAATGCAAAAGAGCCAACACATGGCTAGCTGATGGTTGGTGTGGAGTTCTCTTCGCCCTCACAGGCGACTTGGACTATCTACATGGTACGCTGGCGTGCCCGAACGCATCTCTGGTGAGTGGTCCTTGTGTATGGTGTCAATGCACAGGTACAGGTGAGAACACCTGGCGCGACTTCAGGCAGGGTGGGGCTTGGAGGATGACCGAGTGGTCGCCGCAAGAGTGGCGATTGTGGGAGAACAGAAATCGGTTGTCGCTGCTCACTTTGCCAGGGGCATCGTGTTGGACAATACACTATGACTGGCTCCATTGCAAATAGTTAGGTATGGACCAGTACATTTTCGGTTCAGTCATGGCGGTGCTAGTGAACTATGTGATGCCACAGTCAGCGGAACAGAACCTGCAAACTGCATGGGCCTACCTCAAGCGCTTCTTCAAAGACAACCAAACCCCCACTCCTTTCAGGTACATGACCAGGCTGTCCATGTTTCTGCGTGCTGCAGGAAGTTCCCGAAACTGAGAGGCAAGGGTTTTGAGATTCGACACTTCGGGAAGGCTTTGTTTTCGCTCTGGTCGAAGGAGATAAACAAGCGTCTTTCTTTGCGCAAAAAGATTTTGCTCACGTTGCAGCTGAACGTGGAACTAGAGGACACAATTACCGAGTACAAAGAGGAGTTTCCCCCCAGGCATTGCCCAAAGATTTGAAGAAGCTTGCTCTCAAATGCTCTTGCTCCTGACTCAAATTGCAGAACATTTCTTACAAGAGGACATTAAATACTTTGACTTATGGGAATCTTTGCGCTTCAAGCTGATGGTTCCCAACATATTTTTTCATTTGGGTCTACATCCTTGATATCACCAAAATTATCATAAGTATTCTGTCATCATTAAACTACTTCATTTTTTCATGTCGCCTCTTACGCCTTACGCCTTCTTACGCGTGCCAAAACTTATCCTTATCATCTCTTGGTCATCTCTTCAAGTTTTCAAGAAACAAGTGACAAGATAGCTCAAAAGACTAAACTAAAGTCTCTAAAGGTCGAAAAGGAAGATGAAAGAAGAGTTGACTTGCTAGAGTATTTGCCAGCTTGCAAGCAGCTTGCTATTGAAAGAGTCGAGTCAAAGAGGTGTTCTATGACAGACAAAACAAAACAACACAGGCAAACGAAGCAGGCAGCAGTGCAGCCTTGCAACAGGTGTTTTTGCTCGCTCCTCCATTGGTCACTGCGGTTCTGCCGCGCCAGGGTCAGGTCCAGGTGGAAAGCTTGTTACCAATCCCAATAAAAGAGTGACTCACAGACTCACATGTTATGTTTGCTTTTTCCACTCATGGATTCATGGACACATACACCAGAAACAAGCAAATCCTATAAGTCATAAGGATCATAAGGCCCAGCGACTTTTTTGGTGAATAGACTCGTGCCACTGGACAGCAGCCATGTCTATGTGGGATGATGTCTACAATGAGGAGTGTGAGCACTGCAGGGAAGAAACCTCTGATGTAGAGGCAGCTTGCGGTGTCAGAACCCAATCAGCTACTCAGCTTTGCCCAGAAGCAGCACTCAGTGTTGCCGCGTTGCCGGTTTTTCCTTTGGGAAGCTCGAGTAGGTAGGTCTATGTCTATGTCTATGTCAATTTATGTAGCAATGTAGTGTGTCTGCTCAAATCCAAGGACCAAGGACTACTGACTTACAGTAAAGCCGTAAAGAGAAAACACCTAAGGGCCAGCTGCTAGCTAGCAGGTAGCGGACTCTGAAGTTTTCACGGTTGGGAAATCCTCTTCTAACTCTATCTACCCTATCCAATCAGAGTACGGTATGCAGCTTTTGGACTCTAGTAGGTATCGTAATTCATCCATGTGTTTTTTTGCCACAGTCAATGGGTTTGGTCAGGACGAAGAGAGCGGTAGCGATGACAGCGGCCACAGCAGCTCCAGTACCAGGTTCAGATTGCAGTGGGCGACCTTGCTGCAACAGGTTTTGAAAGACCTGGGGCATGACTGGCCAGAGCAAACGGAGCCTTTGACTGTTCTGAGTGCGTGCACGGGTTGCGCCGCTGAAGCAGCGACGCTGAAGGCAAGGAGCAATCCTATTTTAAATTTTCCATCAGCGGTCAATTAGGCCTTTTATGGTTAAAACAAAAAAGTCTAGACTAGACTAGACTCAAACATATAATATCGACTCAAACACTTAGTAGAGTTGTAGATTCTTGGAGACTTAGACTTAGACTCAGACCTAGGGACCTAGAGTCTAGAGTATCTAGAGTCTCGAGTCTTAGGTTTAGGCCTTGGTTGCGCATCACTTGCAACAGGCGCTGGGCCTAAACTTCACCATATTGAGCGCAAGCGAAGTGAAGAAAGAGTACCGGGATTTTGTTGAGGCCAACTATGGATCAAAGTTCCTTCACTGGTACTCCAGTATTGAAGACCAGGCTACCAGCCAGCTGGCCTTGAGTGTGCTGTCAGCTGCTTTTTATTCTTGTCTCTCAACTCTGTTGACCCGTCTTTTGTAACTAACTTATTGAAATCATCTTCCAGATTCCATATGCCCCATATGCCATATATGTTCATTTATGTTTTAGCCCTTGGTCTGTTCCAGTGAAACAAATGTACCAACCTGACCTAACATACACATCAACACATACACATCTACGACATGTGACAAGCAACAAGCCGGCAGACTATACTATCTGACAATTCTATACACTCATGATATGAAAGCAAAAATTTTAATTGACTTGACTTGACTCTCTTTTGCTTTTGGTTCATCTGGCAGGTGGCAGGCGCAAAAGCTGGCATCATCTGCGAGAATTGCAAGGGTTCGTTGCAGAGTGAGCTGTTTCCAGGTGATCCACAGCAGGACCTTGGAAAAGAAGGTGTTTTCGACTTGGCCATGGTAGGCTCACCATGCAATCCTTTCTCAACCCAAAGAACTAAGAGGTTCAGCGACGGCAACGTCAAGGAACATCATTTGTACTCTGTGACAAGTGACAGCTCTTCAGCTCAGTTGTAACTTTCTATTGTTTTTGTTTTTCTTTTAATACTTTTAAGTGAGGATATTCAGGAACTTGTATATTTATGCATAGCTACAAGTGACAAGTCATTCGTCATATGTAAGCAGACCATTCTATTCTATCCTATCCCATGTCTATGAGTCACAAGCATATGTTAAAAATATAAACATGTTTCCGGATTCCGGTTTATGATCTCATGATGGTTGGATTTTACAGATGATCCTCAAAACCAT